ATCCCTTTACCCAGAAGAGCATTGGAGGACAAGCATTCCCTCATGCTTCCCAGAAGGCTCTGGAAGCAGACACCAAGCCAAGTGCTACCAGAGCACTGGAGTCCCACGATGCTGAGCACCAGCCCACTGCAGAATGGAAGTGTCTTCTGGGAGCAGGATTCCCTCCAAGGCCTGTTCCCCCTAGGGACCATCGACAGGATTTTAAGTGTCAGAAAGGAAGAAAAGCAATAGGAAAACCAACAAACCAAACAACCCACAACTCACACCACAAAGCAGACACCTCTGTCTTGTAACTCCAAATGGTTGGGAAGATGTAGAATTGTCTGCTTTCCCAAATGAGAAGAGACAGGCCATTAGTCTACTTTAATCATGATTCCTTTGCTGATAACAAGGCACTGATCTCAAGAAGCAGAGGCTTCGACCATTTAGCCCCACAGATCAAGCAGAGCTGGAAGACTACTGCAGACCCAGCATGACTGGAAAGTCACAGCAGTCCTTCTAGCACAGAATAATGCCTCAGCCCATAAAGGAATGCACCTTTTGGCCTGCTCACAGAAGCAGCCCCTTTACTATTTGTGCTCCCAGGAATCTTGTTTTTGCCAAATACAGCATTTGCTATTGCAGCCCCCTCACCATTTACCAGCTGTCTGTATGCCTGTGGCTACTGAACTGCTGCTGTTCCCCTGCTAGTATGCTGGCACTGCTACATGGGATTCTGGAGCAGAAGACCACAGATCAGCAACTGTAATAATCACAGAATTGTTAGGGTTGGAAGGGACATCTCTTCAACAGGGTCTGCCCTACCATAACCATGGGCCCTTCACTCTACAATCTGCCAGTACCCAGAGTCAGAAGTACGGGATTCCTGCAAGATCCTCACACAAAGCATCTCACAGTCTCCCTCAATACACAAACATCACAAAAGACAAGGAAAGCAACTCAGCAAACCCATTTGCTACAAGTATCACAGTATGCTAGAGATTGGAAGGGACCTCAAAAGATCATCTAGTCCAATCCCCCTGCCGGAGCAGGAACACCTAGATAAGGTTACACAGGAATGTGTCCAGGCAGGTTTTGAATGTCTCCAGAGAAGGAGACTCCACAACCTCCCTGGGCAGCCTGTTCCAGTGTTCTGTCACCCTCACTGAGAAGAAGTTTCTTCTCAAGTTTAAGTGGAACCTCTTGTGTTCCAGTTTGTACCCATTACCCCTTGTCCTATCATTGTTTGCCACTGAGTAGAGCCTGGCTCCATCCTCATGACACTCCCCCTTTATATATTTATATACACTAATAAGGTCACCCCTCAGTCTCCTCTTCTCCAAACTGTAGAGACCCAGCTCCCTCAGTCTTTCCTCATAAGGGAGATGCTCCACTCCCTTAATCATCTTCGTTGCCCTGCGCTGGACTCTCTCCAGCAGCTCCCTGTCCTTCTTGAACTGAGGGGCCCAGAACTGGACACAATATTCCAGATGGGGTCTCACCAGGGCAGAGTAGAGGGGAAGGAGGACCTCTCTCGACCTACTAACCACCCCCCTTCTAATACACCCCAGGATGACATTGGCCTTCTTGGCCACAAGGGCACAGTGTTGGCTCATGGGCATCCTGTTGTCCACTAGGACCCCCAGGTCCCTCTCCCCTACACTGCTCTCTAGCAGGTCATTCTCCAACCTATACTGGAACCTGGGGTTGTTCCTGCCCAGATGCAGGACTCTACACTTTCCCTTGTTATATTTCATCAAGTTACTCCCTGCCCAACTCTCCAGCCTGTCCAGGTCTCGCTGGATGGCAGCACAGCCTTCTGGCGTATCAGCCACTCCTCCCAGCTTAGTGTCATCAGCAAACTTGCTGATAGTACACTCAATTCCCTCATCTAAATCGTTGATGAATATATTAAATAATACCGGCCCCAGTACTGACCCTTGAGGCACTCCACTAGTTACAGGCCTCCAACTAGACTCAGCCCCATAGACTACAACTCTCTGGCTTCTCTCCTTCAGCCAGTTCACAGTCCACCTCACTACCTGATCACCCAGACCACACTTCCTCAATTTAGCTGTGAGGATGCTGTGGGAGACTGTGTCAAATGCTTTGCTAAGTAGATGGGGATGGCTAAGCCAGGGGTCTCCAAATCCAATGGACCCCATGGTAAGGAGCCATTCACACACCAGCAGTGCCACAGCCACAAAAGGTTACTGCCGGACCCAACCTCTGCCCTTCAGACCACCCCAGGTCCCACTGGAGCCTGGTCTGCTCACTGCCATGATGAGCACTGTCACAGTCTGAGGATGAGCATTTCACAACATCCTGAGTTTCACACCACAGTTACCACTTGACTCTACCAGTGGGCATGAATGAAAAGGGAAAGCCAGAGCTATAAAAAGCTTCAGAGAAAGGGACTCTTTCTCAAGCAGCCTCTCTTTCCAAAATGATGACTTAGAGAGGGCAGAAGGGGAAGAAAAGCCCTTAAGTATAAGAGTTCAGAGCACAGATGTTTTGAGTCATTCATTTCTACTAAAAACCACCCACCTGCAACCACATTTTCCCCCTCCAATAGCACAGAATCATATATTGGTTTGGTTTGGAAAGGACTTTAAAGCTCATCTGATTCCAACACCATGGGCAGGGACACCTTCCACTAGACCAGGCTGCTGACTGGCAGGACCTGACCACAACAGCCAAATCATGGTCTGAACACCATGAGGATGCAACTCAGAAGCAATTCCATGTTTTCCTCTGGAATAGTCAATCCCAGGCACGGCTGCTATACAGTCTAAGAGATGTATGACAGCATTGTCTAGCACCTTTTCCTTACACCTTCGCTGAGCAGGCTCCTTACTCCAGGCTCTTCCTACAGGAGGAAGAAAATAAAGCTGCATTGTACAGCAGTAAAGGGCAGCACTGTGAGGAGCAGGAATAACACAGCACAAGCTGCTACAGAAGCTGTAGTGAAGCCACTTCATTCCCAGCTTCATTCCCCTTCACAATCTCAGTAGACAAAGCTGGAAAACAAAAGGTCCCTCTAGAAAACACTTATCCAGCTGGAAGAGATGCTCCAAACCTTCTGGTTTCCTTGCTATGAAGAGGAGGAGGCCAAGGCAGACTGCTACTTGCCACATTATCAGTGCAGGTAATCCCAGTAGGTTTAATTGAAGCAATGGGGTAACATTAGTCACTTATAGACCTGCCATCTGCAGTTAAGATCCCCCCCCACCCTCCACCAACCACCATCCAAAAAAAAGAGGAAAATAATCAATCCATCCTTCCAAACACCACATGCAGAGGGTATGGACAGGGCTGCTTCAAGCCAAGAGGAACAGACATATGGGATCCATTCCCCAGGAATCTGGCAGTTAAAATAGACAGCAAGACTCTGAAAAGCTGGGTCTGTTTTGGGAACAGGAGAGGTCTCCTTGGAGCCTAGAGACTTACGCAGTGGTCTGGAGGATGGGTTCTGCTGAACACGGACCAAACAGCCTAGGTGGCCTCTTCTACCTTCTTGAAAGCGTCTCCTTTTCTAAACTTGGAGGACAAATATTCCAGGTGACTGTTTGATGGAGCAATGTTAGAAGAATGAGATGGAAATGGAGTAGTTCACAGGTATCTGTTTCAACAAGAAAGAACTTTTAGCCGGGAAAAAAAATTATTTGCAAAGAAAGATAGGCCTCAATGCAGAGATAAATGCTGCCATTTCAGACAGGAAACAGAGCAGGGCTGTATCACCTTTAATCAGTAAATCATGGTTCAAGCTAAGATTACTTAATAGGGCTGCAGACACTTCTTTTTCCTTTCTCTGTCCCACCACATTGTGCTCTTTCCCTCACAGCCCACTCTCCAGAGACCATTTCTACATCACATCAGTTTTACAAGTTTTAATGAAGCCATATTTACTAATGACATCAAATTACAGCAAGGGGTCTCATGCATCTTACCTCAACAGGTTATGGCTGAGACACAAGGGTTCCTATGCCCCTAAGGATGTGTGCCCACGCCTTGTGCAGCAGCTTGAAACCCAGCTCTGCAAAGCCCCATTGCCTGCTCCTTCCCTGATGGATGGATGGATGCCATGTAGACAGCTACACACTGCAGGGCTCATGAGACCCTGGGCACAGGAGTAGCCATCAGCCAGCACTGCAGTAACACAACTGCTGACGTAGCTCAGCTCGCACTGCCACACAGGCTGTTCCTCCTGACAGCAAACACCCCATGGAGAAAGCTGCTTCTCTTCTGGGCAAACAAGGAGCAACTGTTTAGGTTCCCATGGGACAACACCGGGTGTATGGCCATCCACTTGTATACACGCTGGTAGGTCTTGCTTGTAGCTGACAGCTGGGCTAGGAAGAGGTTTCCCATCTGCCTGAAGCTATGCAAAGCAGGAACTTACTGCTTTACCACCGCCACAGCAGCCTCTGAAGCTGTAGCATGATGGATTGGAAATGAATGCAGACACCCAGGCTCTGAGACCACCAGTAGGACTGCAGCATCAAAGCAAAGGAGCCTCTGAGGTCTTGGCCATTAAAGTAGCTTGCTGTTCCTCAAAATAGCCCTCCCTTGAAATAGCCTTTTCTGCTGAGGTTGCAGCCAGTTTGATGCAGCTTTTGACATGAATTCCCACCTGGTTTCAGCAGCAGCATTTTGGCCACCTCGGGTTTGTTCCAGGAAGACACAAGTCACACCACCACCCCCAGGGAGCAGGGACGAGAGGAAACTCTGACTCCCCTCACATCAGACACTGGTATCACCTCCCACCCCCTCGGAGCAGACACAACCACCCCTATTTTAGCTGCTCTCAGGCAAGGTGTTATCAGCTTTGGTGCAAGGGAGCAGCCATCTCCTATGGAAAGTCCCACAGAGGGGACGGGGCTTGCAAGCAGGATGCTTGGGGTTTCCTACCTCACCACCAGCCTCTATGGACCTCTGTTATACTTGCAGCCTCCCCTTCCACTCCTGTCCCAAGGGAAGGGCAACAAACCCTTTGGGAGCAACCCCTTGTGTGCCTCTACCTTATCTCATACACAGCCGTGGTCCAGCACTGTCCTGCACAGCAGCTGTGGAACAGAAGTCTTCTCTAATTAAAAGAGCTTCCTTTGGGAACAGGCAGATTTACTGCACGACTCAGAGGGCTCTTTAGTTATTCCATGTGTAGTGTCTGCGAGCCTGCATTAGAAAGGGACCTGAATGCAAAGAAGAGCCCAGCAGCTTCTTAGACTGTTGGGAAAGCACATTCAATCCAGACAGCTGGGTTTTGTCTGGGTGGATTTCATTCCCCCCGCCCTCCGAGAGACTTCAGAGATGAGCATAAATAGAACTGCTGCCTGCCTTTTAAGCCCCAGTTTCTTCAAGCATACAGATGATGCAAAACAGTTCTCAATCTCGGCTTGGGCAATGCAAAACTTGAGGCAACAGCAGAGGGGAAACAGCCTTGATAATCAGCAGGGTCCTCAGTCCAAGCCAAGCACAGCACTCTGGATCAACACTTCTGTATGACCAGGGAGCCCAGCTCTGTGATCACAAGACACAGAAGAGGGGGAGCGAGGGGAAAGGAGACAGAGTTTACTCAGTAAAGCACACTGGGAAGTTGAGGACGTTCCAGCGAAGCCACTCAAGACTGACTCACCACCAGCAGCTTCAGTCCAGGCTGACACACATACAAACGCATGACCAGCTTCACAAGATGCTCTGATTGCACCACACCACCAGCATGAAACAAGCTCCAGAACCAATGCATGATTATAACCGAGAGGTGGTGTTCTACCATCACACCAGAAAAAATGGCAGAGTACTCTACAATTTGATTACAAGCAGAAAGGAGAGGAGCAGAGCAGTCCACATGGTGCCTTTCAAAAGCAGGCACATTAGCTCTGGGGTGCAAAGTCCAAAATATCACTTGATCCTGACACTGCTGAATACAGAACCTCTCTTCAATTCCTGTCCACATATATTCCAAGTTAAAGAAGCCATTTGCAGGACCAAGGAGAAAATGGGAACAAAAATCTAGTAGAAAGGGAGTAAGACATTCCCAACATTGATATTTTACCATCTAAGACTTGAGTACCTAGAAACTGAAATACCATGGAAGGCAGAGAAACTTCCCTGGAAAGGTCTAACCAGAGCACTGAGCCATTCCGTGCAATAGTGGAGCTCCTCTAGTTAAGACTCCACAACTGATTCCCAACCAAACTGCTAATCATCCACCACAGGGGACATGCCAGCTCCAGGCTTTGCATATTCACATATTAGGGGATGATGGCAGCAGCCCTTGCAGTCCTAGCCAAGTGGTCGGATGTCACTTCCACATATGCTCAACGTGCTGCTCCTGAAGGCCTGCACCAATGCAGCACAGGTGATGATCCTGATGCAGAAAACACCTAGAGGAACCTCACTGGAACCTGGGCCATGGCAGCCCAAGCACAAGCAAGGTTCTGGAATGGGTTGCTTTTCAAACCAGACAGATAGCAGGAGATGAGGGCATAGAGCTTCCATGTGGCCCCTCCACCCCGTAACAGTGAGGGCACACAAACTTCATGGATCACAGAGGTAGTGGCCAAAGGAAGCTGCTGGCAGAGGACAAAGGCACATCCAGTGACTGTAAGTGCTTCTCCAGGGCAGCTCAGGGAAATGGTCTCCTTTGTTCCCAACAGGTAAAGCTACTTCACAGCAAATTTGGGCCCTGCTATGCAAATCCCTGTATACTAGGTCCTTTCCCTCCTCTTTCCCAACCTGGCATGGATGGGAGCAGCAGCAGAAATGACCAAGTCCCTGACTCCAGTAATGGCTGGAGCTTGGCTCAAGGTCCACAGTTGCAGCTCCAACGGCTCATCCCTTCCATTGCTGGCATACAAGAGATCTCCCTGAAGCAGAATTAGTGATGCCTACAAGGGGAACTCTCCATTACATAATTTCAAATCTCCAGGCTACTGGATATCTTAACGTGGATAACTTGCCCCAGATCAGCATCTCCCAAGCACACATGGCCTGGGATTATCATCATACTGGCAGAGATCAGTGATGTGCTTACAGCCCAGCAGCAATTTTGCAGTAAAAGGTAAAGCGTTTTTGCGACGCACCTATTTGCTCACACTGTGCTGCAGAGAAACTAAAGCTGCAGCCCAGAAGCATCCTTATGCACCAGTCTCCTGCCTATGTGCAGGGCAGGGCCCCTGGTGGCACAGGAGAGACAGATGCTCCCGGCTCCTGAGCTCCTGCCTCAGCAGCAAGCCTTGGAAATTAAGCACACACACCACGCTTTGATTTAACTTGCTTTTAACGGTGTTGTCCCAGTTCTAAAGCTCCATCAAGGAGATAAAAGAACTAGAGCAGTCAGCCAGACAGCCCGTGTATGTGCCTTTTCCCGCAGGAGAAAGCCTGCCTTCAGCCCAGTCTCCTTCCCTTTCTCCTCTGTATATTGAATGAGCTCCGAACCACTCAGCCTCCCTTGCCCTACTGTGTTCAAGAGGACACAGGCTTGGGCACTGAGCTGGCAGTGTCTGCTCCCTGTCTTCATCCCAACAGGCTCCTGTTTTATTCCCTTTTTCTGCTGTCACCTACCAGGCGGTCCCTTTCAGAGCTGCCCACAGTAACACCTCATCTTTCTTCCAGAAAATCGGCTCGCTCTGAATCTGTCAGAGCAAGCAAGCAGTGATTTAAGCACTCTCCAGTGTGCAGCTCCTTGTGCTTCACTTATTATCCTGTCTAGGTTCAAGTCGGCCATTAACTGCTTCAGTGTCTCCAATCCGTGATGAACCTGAGAGCTTTCAGCAAACAGGCTCTGACCAACCATCAAGGAACTGCTGGCACCGGCTCCATCTCCTGTATTATTCCTTTTGCCATGCCAAGAGAGCCTGTGATTTTTAGGCTTTCCTCCATTTCATTCCTTAAAAGAATACAGATGAGCCAGGAAGAGACAGAAGGGGTTAGGTAACCACTGCAGCTCACTACCTTCATGCACATGTCATTAATCATTTGTCCATGGAAAGCTCCAATCCCACATTCTTCCCACAGAATCATCAGTACAAGAGCACAGTTTATTTCTTAGGCCACCAAAGCTGACAACAAGGTTAATGGGCCCCAGCTCATCCTTTACTGTACATAAGGACCCCAGATCCCAGGATGTCATGATCCATGTTCAGAAACAAATGAAGGCAATGAAGGAAAAGAAGGGGATGCAGATGTCATGCTCCTATTTTAGAGAGGTGAAGTTAAAGCACTCTGGTTGAGGGCCAGAGTTCCTGGCAATAAGAAGTTAGTTTTGATGCACACAAGTTTTTTCCAAAGAGGAAACTGAAGAAGTGAAGAACTGAGGCTCCGGTCATCCCTTGATGAAGCATCGCTCCCTCCTCCAGCTTTCCAAGCCACTCAACCTTGGCCTGAGTCCTCCCATTCACCAGTAAGCAGAAACAGAAAGGAAACCAGGAAGAAAGTGGCTGACACACCACCCACACCATTTAAGTGAAGCAGCAATTACCACTTCAGATAGCATGGGGCATGGTCCACCTCCCAGCATCACCCTGGCTTTCCTGTAACAGATCCTGTGTCATCACTGCCTGAGGGTTTTGCAGCAGTGTCTTTTTGCCTCTGCTGTGTGCTTCCTGCTGTAACAGTGCCAGGGAGCACCAGGACCCACAGCCATGGTTTGGGGAAAGCACCTCAGGGTCTGTGGTTACCAGAGGTCTGCAAAACTCCCACCTGCATCTCTCCGATTTAAATATCTCCGCATGAACGTCTGCAGTCCCTGCTGCCTTACAGCTGTGACACAAAGACATGGAGATACAGGAGTGGGATAAAACCTTTCCTCAGCTACAGTCAGGTAAGGAATTCCATATGATCATACACACACACACTTCATGGAGTTTGAAGCAGAGATTGTCTTGGGGGCAGGAAACCTCCATGGAGCTGTAGGAAGGCCTTGTTACAGCATCTCCTGCACCAGCTTACGGCTGTAGGTCACGCTACACCTGCCTGTCCCCCCTAAGAACTAAAATAGAGACAATAACAGGAATGAAGAGAGTCCAGATGAGCTGCACCATTAAAGCTGCTAAATCCTCTTAAGGGTGGAGCTTCCATGCAGCAGAACAGAGACTGCCCAGGGGGGAGAGCCTTCTCCAGGCACTGAGCTTCCACCTTGCTCTATTTCTGTCACAGGCAGGTAAGAAGCTGAGCAAACGCTGCAAGGCTTCACCCAGCCACCCCTGCCCTGCAGCACAGGGATACAGATGTTGTCCCAGCCATCCCCAGAGCCCTCAACAAGGATGGAGAAACCCAGGCCAAGAGGGTTTCAAGCCCAGAGAGGCTCCACTGAGTAAAGCTATACTGGAAGCAAGACCCTTCTATGAAAGGAGTGTTAAATGAAGGGACATGCAGCAAGGAGAAGCTACTCACTTCCCTAAACTACTCCAAATCCACACATTGGCTTACAGAGCAGTTGGCAGAGATCCTTTTTACTCATGTGGCAGCCCAGTATGAGCAATGGATTCTTTCTCTTTCTTTTTAAAAGCAGCACAACTGTGCGTGTGGGAGTTCTTGCTGCAGCCGAAAGACCAGAAACAAGTGTGAATGTTAAAAACACCCCACTGTACCAACCACAAAGAGGCCTGGTGACGGGACACTGGCAGGACTGCCACTACTCGTGCAGCAACACTGCAGAAGAGGTCATTGACTGCACCAACAGTGCCCTTCTCCCCCATTAACACTTTCTTCCCACTTAGTTCTTGTGAAGTATTTCGTAAGATCCAAGTAATGCATCATTTTTACAGCGTGTCATATGCTTGACGTCAGCACATCATCAAGACTGCTCTTCTCACTAGACCTTCAGAGCAATGTTTTTACTTTTGTATCTTGTGGCTCACCAAAAGGATCTTAACCACATGCTTCTACTTACTGGTTATCATGCAGCGAGCAAGCTTCACAACAGCAGGCTCACACGTCAGGCTTTGAAGAGGATTTTTCTCAAGGCCAAGGTGCCTGAGAAAGTTAAAAACCATCTTCTGTGGAGAAGAAGTATCACTGATGTCAGATGCCGAGACCACACTCTCCAGCTGTGCATCCTTGCTTGCACAGAATCACACCGGTGAGGTTTCGCTAGCACTGGGGATGGGTTATATCCCTGCAAGCCTCTATTGCCAGCAGCAGCACAAACCTCTCCAAGAG